TGCGTAGCTACCTTTCCCTTGCTATGCTATTTTTTCTCCTCTGTGTTAAGATATATCACATGGCTCCCACGTCCTAGTCAAAGAAGAACGAACCCCCCCTATCTTTTATTGCACGTGTCTGCATAGCTACGTCTTCCACTACTCATTCATCCCCAACAATACAGGTTTCTTCATTTTTCCTTCGATTATTTCGACACAACAACAACAACAAACCTAGTAGTTTCCCATAAATGGGTATGAGAAAGATAAGATGTACGCATTTTTACTTCTACTTCTGGAAGGGCAGAGAGACTGTTTCCGATAGACCCTCAGTTAGAGAACGACTGAAAAAGAAAAGGTAATTGCAACAAGTAGGAATAACAGCAAGCCGAAATAAGATTGAATCCAAGAATGCAGTCAAACTCTATGTAGTAATAGCCACCTATGAACAAAAGATATCATACTAACATTAATGCTAGTGAACTGAGTAAGACAAAGAGAAACGTTCGACTACCTACGAACTTTCTACCTTAATATTTGACCTTCACGCCCTCCTGTTTAGGGTCATGTCCTCAGTCAGCTCCAGTTGCGCCATGTCCCGCCTAATTAACTCTTCCCAAGACTTTTTAGGCATATCTCTACCCCTCCTGCTACCCACCGAGGCTAACCGCTCGCACCTTTGATTATTTGGATATTCGTTGAAATAATGCTGGAGTTTAGCACAAAAACAATATGCTGGATTATGAATTGACATAATTTAATTCATAAAAAAATGTTGGAGTTCACGCAAGAAATATTAAAATCCATGAACAAAATGCTGGAGTTAATGCTGGAACTTCATGAAAAAATGCTGGAGTTCAGAAAAAAATACTGAAGTTGATAAAAAAATTGTTGGAGTTCACGCAAAAATGCTGAAATTCATGAAAAAAGCTGGAGTTAAATCCCGGAAGTTCATGAAATAGTGTTGGAGTTCAAAAAACAATATTGAAGTTGATAAATAAATATTGAAGTCAATAAAAAATGTTGAAATTTATCAAAATAAATGCTGGTGTTGGAACTTTTAACAAATGAAATTCCAGTATACTATCACGAAATTTGGAAATGGCAGAAAAGATGAAAATTTTGAACTCTCGTTGTCTATTCCAACTCCAATATAATATATTGGAGTTTAATTGAACTCCAGAATATTATCCTGGAGTTCGAGAAAAGCGGGAATGATGAAAGAGTGATCTCTGCTTTGTCCAAATATTAGCTATTCGAGGTTTTTCCTCGCCCCACAAGCACCCAACCTTCCTTTTGCTCTTCCTTCGGTTTGCCTCCACGAAAGCGCCAAAAGAGAGAATCATACCACTAGACCAAATGCCTTCATAGACGCTAAATAAGGAAAAGTAAATACTGGAATATTTCAACGTTTGTTGACAAATAACCAACTGAAGAAGCAAAAGCAGAAAACGAGAGGAGAATGTCCAATAATAATATGTAAAGAAGATGACTACTTATGACTGATGAAGGAACCACGAGGAAATGTGGGTTAAAACAGTCCGACTCTAGATTTTAGTTGGATTGCTTTTCTCCTAGTTCAGTCTAACAATATTGTGGCACAATACTTAAAGCACAATTTCCTTTGTTCTATTCATGTATGCTCACTTCTATTATGCACAAGGGGCCACGATATATCATTTTCATGTGCCGAGACAAAATCCTAGCATTGGAAAATGCACAAACTTTTGGGAATCAAAGTTTTAAAATTGTTCTTGTTCTTTTACAATAATGTTCAAAATTCACTTATTTTTAGGATCTAAATTAAAATTATAAAATTTTTCTTGTTCTTCTATATTAACGTTCAAGATCTCTCGAAACACGACTAAACTAACGTTTATGGCTAGCTCGAGGCTGACCTTTGAAAATGCGATTGCAGTGCTTGCTCGTCGAATGAAATATAAGGGAAGAAGAGAACTGACTGAGGATTTTCCTCATCATGGTCTCCCTTTTATATTTTGCCTATCAACGCTTCAGCTTCATTTTAGTAGTACTTGATTTTGTTGTCATGGAATATCTTATTAATCCTTTTCTATTTTGGTTGCAAGGCTTCTTATGGATTTCTCTTTGGTATGTAATAGTAAAGGTTGCTTCAAATTTGCTTAATCTATTGCACTTCCATTTATCTGGTGCTGTCCCCCCAATACTGAGAAAAATCCCAGCACAAACTCAAAGATTTGGCAATGCAATACAGAATTGTCAACCCATGTAAAGGATGTAAGTAGAATAAAGCCAAGTAATAAAATGTGCTTCAATAGAAAGTAAAGTCGAAGCGGGTCATCTTTGCTTATTGTCCCTTGCCATATTGAAGTATAAGGGCTTCAATGCTTTTTCTAAGCTGGAAGTAAGGCTAATGCAATAGGAAACTACAAATCAACAAAGCAAAATAAGCATGAGGAAACAGTCAACTGACCATCCATAAAAGCTTCCAGTTAGCGAGCATACCATCTTGGTATAATGAGGAAAGATCACTAAGCTCTACAATTCGAGATAACTTCCAATGATATTGTTATATACACCTACAAATTTTGTAGGTATACCGTGAGATTAAGAGGCAAACACAGGAGACAAACTATACAACTCGCAAACTGTCAACCAAAATTTGTCAATCAAAGTCCTCTATAATCTTTTCAACAGGCAAGTATTTAGTAACAAAAGCTCCAACCCAACAAAAACAAGAACGTCAAGAACAACATGATCACCCTTACCACATTATTCATGGGTTCCTACCCGTAACACACAGTCTGCAGAGAACCCCACCAGCTACCAGAAACAGCTCGTCAGCCTCCTCCGGGTGAAAATGAGATACAAGTTGCTACCATCAGAAAGACCTCAGTGCTAACAACATGCTGGGGATTATTCCATTCCCACAAACTTCTTTACCATATTTACAAGCTAACAATAACAAGTGAGTTAGCTGAGCAAACAAAAAAATCAAAATAGAAAATCCAGCAAAGCTCTAACTCATATATCTAGCACAACCTCTGCAAGTTCAATCAAGTATCATCTAAACATTTTCAGGTAGAGTAACAATTAAAAATGGGAATAAGAAACAAGTAGTGACTGGGCATTCATGCAACAAAAAGTTAGAAAGAGAAGGTCTGACTTCTCTCTAAAAACTTTTCTTTGGCTTTTTCAAACTCTTTTCAAAATGATTATCTTTCCTATCATCTCTCCTTTACTTTGTTGACATGGCTGGTAATCTTTTCTTTATTTCTAGCGAGAAATCTTTTGAACTGATCGACATTGGCGAAGGTTATGACAGGTGGTTTTCTTTCACGGAGCGCAGGAGGGGATTCACTAGTAGACTTACTATTGATAGGGAAAATCTGCAATGGGTGTGTGATGCCATGATTCAGGCCTCTTAAGGGGAAAGGGAATCTCTGTAGAAAATGGGGGAGGAAAATTCAAGCATACTCATACAGAGTTTTCCAGAACTACAACATTCATGGCAGATTTTTAAGGATTGAAGCCTGGCTCGGAGTTAAAAGGGATGCTATTATTATCCCAGAAAACGATTACAATACGGGATGGGGTGATATTGCTAATAAAATACTTCGTTTTCTGGGGAATTTCTCGGATTCAAGGTTCAATCTTGCATGTCAGCAGGCCAAATCTTATATGGAAGCAGCAAAGATCCTTCAATGGTCATCTGGTGAAGTTTAGAATGCAGCTCAACAGAGAATCGAAGCATGTCCCTCATCAGAATGTGTTAAAGCTCAATTCCTCTCAAAGTGTCTTGTTGGTGTCTTCAATGATACCTTTAATATAAGCCCCAACCCTGAAGTGATTCAGAAGTGGTTTATATACAGGTGGAAAGTCACGGCAGGTCTCAAAGTTACCCAGATAAATCACAATTCACAACATGTTCCTATTTGATTTTCCCTCGAAGCAAGAGGCGCTTCGCATTAAAGGCGGCGACTGGTTCTGGAACGGTAGACACCTATCTCTTGATTGGTGGTCTCCAATGTCGGGTTTAGACATGGCTATCAGAAAAGAAGAGCATACTTGGGTAAAAGCTTTTGGGATTCCACTTCACGCATGGTCTCAAGATTTTTTCACCATCATCGGCGACCTTTGTGGTGGCTTTATAGCCATAGATGAAGATACAAAGTGAAGAAGTCATCTGTTCTGGGCCCAAATGTGTCAAAAATACTGCCAACGATCTTCCTCGTATACTAGAATTACAAGTGGGTGAATGGACGTATGAAATTTCAATAATTCCATATGCTCATGTCAAACTGAAGAAATCCGTCAATATATTGAACTCCGGCTCCGGTGTTAATTCTATTTCGATGGCAAAGGGAAAAAGTGTTGTTGAGATGGCTGATAGGTCAGGCCACTCAAGCCAACAAAAACCTATTGCAATCCCATCCTNGGCTCAAATTTCTTGGGCAAAAAGAAGAAAGGGCATTTAAATAGGAGTCAACCCAAAACCTTTTGGAAAGCAAAAGGGTTTTTTGCAAGACCTATGGATATTAAGGCCAAGGATTTATCTGAGGCCCCAATCTTAAACTCAGAGATTATTCCAGAACATCCCAGTAGCTCTCTTATACCCGATACTCTTCAAACTGCTATAGGAGACCCCAATTAGAGCTCAGATGCTGACGACGAGGCTGACCCTCCAACAAATTTCAGCATAATGCTTCACCAACAAAATTTGATGTCACAACCACTGCAGGTACATGATTATGAATCTGATTTCTCGTCTTCTTCACTTCCTCTACTGCTCCCATGGCATGAGAAGGGGTCGACTTCAACACTTGTTCTCGAACCGGCAGTGATAGATACATCAAGGTGGACAAAGCTGGTAATGGTGAAGGCATGCAAGGCTTTTGGGGTGAATGTTGCGGGATTAGAACACAAGCTGCTTGACATCATCTTAAGAATGGAGGAAAGAAGGCAGATTCAGCTAAAACACAAAAACTTATCAAATCCTGTTAAAAAACACAGTAAGAAGAAGGGGGAAACTGAAATTAACAAGCTGAAATGTGGGATCAATTATGAAAGGGTTGATAAACAACACAGTAAGAAGAAGGGGGAAACTGAAATTAACAAGCTGAAATGTGGGATCAATTATGAAAGGGTGAACAAAAGAGATAGGGGGCACTACAAGGCTTTTTCTGAATGAAGCTCAAAATTTTGAGCTGGAATGTGAATGGGTTGAATGATAATAGTAAAAGGGGTACTCTTAGCTCATTGGTTCACAAGTGAAGATCGATATTCTTTGTGTGCAAGAAACAAAAATAGAGGATTGGTCTGTTAATCTCTCCAGACAGATTTGGGGTAACAGGTGGGTTGATTGGGCAGAGCCTAAGTCATGTGGTACAAGGGGGGGCATCATAATACTATGGGATAGAAGACGTTGGAATTGTTTGGAGGTACACAAGGGGACTTTTTCTATTTCAAGCATATTGGAGAGCACACAAGAAGAGTTCAGATGGTGCTTTACAAGGATTTATGGTCCTCACACCAATCAGGAAAGAGAGGACATGTGGAATTGGCTGCAGTTAGGGGTATGTGGAGTGAGAATTAGGTGATAGGGGGAGATTTTAATGTTTGCAGATATGAGAATGAAAGGCACAACTGCATTATAAGATTCAGAGCAATGAGGGGTTTCTCTAATATCATTCAAGACCTGGGAATTATTGATTTACCTCTCCAAGGTGCCTTCTACACATGGTCTAGGGGAGAAGACATTTATCAGGCATCTAGAATAGATAGATTTCTTATATCCCCAGAGTGGAATAATGCTTTAAGGATGTGAAACAGATTGCCCTTCCAAGGTTTTTTCTGATGATAAACCTTTACTTCTGGAGAGCGGAGAGTGGGGACCGGGAGGTGAATCCATCTTACTTCAAATTTGAGAACATGTGGTTAAAATCAGATGGTTTCATGGAGAATATTGAAGAGTGGTGGAATAGCTATACCATACATGGGAGTCCAGACTATATTCTAATTCAGAAATTGAGACTATTGAAGAAAGACATTTCCTGCTGGAATAAGGAAGTCTTTGGCAAGGTTGAGTCAAGAAAGAGCAAAGTTTTAGATGAACTTTTAGTGTTGGAACAGATCACGGAGAATAGGGTTCAAACTGTAGGGGAAAAAAGTAAAATGTTTGCTTTAAAATTAGAATCTGAGCAAATAGAAAAGCTGAGGAGATTTCATGGAGATAGAAGTCCAGGGGCCTATGGCTCAAAGAAGGAGATAGGAACACCAAATACTTTCAACGAATTGCGAACTCCCATAGAAGAAATAATTGCATTGACAGACTTATGGTTGATTCTGAGATTATTGAAGATAAGGAGCAGATAAAAGGGGAAATTCTGGATTTTTACCAACAACTATACACCGAGTCTGAACAGTGGAGACCCACAGCCAGTCTTGATGATCTGGAAAGAATATCAGAAGAAGACAAAGCATGATTGGAAATTCCTTTTGAGGAGGAGGAGGTCCTTTCTACTATTAAAACATACTCTCCAGATAAGGCTCCAGGGCCAGATGGTTACACAATGGCATTTTTCTAGAAAGCATGATTGATCATTAAGGAAGAGGTGATGGCTGCCCTGAATTTCTTTCATCATAATTGTCACATGGTGAAGTCTTGCAATGCCTCTTTTATAGCCTTAGTTCCCAAAAAGAAGGGAGCCATTGAACTCGAGGACTATAGACCAATCAGTCTGATTGGTAGTGTTCACAAAATAGCAGCCAAACTACTTGCAGAACGGCTCAAGAAAATGGTCGGTGGTCTGGTTTCTGGACATCAGAATGCCTTTATAAAAGGCAGACAAATCACTGATGCAACCCTCATTGCAAATGAAGTATTAGACTGGCAATTGAAGAATGGAAATCCTGGTATTTTATGCAAGCTAGATGTAGAAAAAGCCTTTGATAAGGTGAATTGGGCATATCTTCTAACTGTGTTGGTGACAGGTAGATTAAATGGATGAAGTTTTGCATTACCACAGTTAAATTCTCGGTACTTGTTAACAGAGGGCCATTGGGATTCGTTTCCCCACAGAAGGGACTTAGACAGGGAGACCCTCTCTCTCCATTCCTTTTTATTCTGGCCATGGAGGGCCTTAGCAAGATGTTGGACAAAGCGAAGCAGCTACAATGGATTAGTGGCTTTCAAGTGGGGCTTAACTCTGGCCCATCTCTCTCAGTATCTCATTTGCTTTATGCAGATGATACTCTGATCTTCTGTGGGGCTGAAAGATCCCAAGTCCTATACCTTAACCTAACCTTGAATTTGTTTGAAGCTATTGCAGGTTTGCACATTAACATGGCAAAAAGCACTATCTACCCTATAAATGAAGTCAACAATCTGGAGGAACTAGCTGGAATTCTATGTTGTCATACTGCTACATTACCTACTACATACCTTGGTCTACCTCTTGCAGCAAAACATAACTCAATTGAGGTGTGGAATGGAGTCCTTGAAATTTTTGAAAAGAAGCTAGCTTCATGGCAAAGGCAGTATCTTTCAATGGGAGGAAGGCAGACACTAATCAACAGTGTGCTAGATAGCATCCCAACACTCATACCAATCCCCAACAAAATTTTAAAGCAGCTTGACAAGATCAGGAGAACATTCCTATGGGAAGGAGGCAGCAAAGTTCATAAATTTCATCTAGCCAAGTGGTCAAAGGTCACCATGCCAAAGTATTTGGTTGGCCTAGGCATCAGAGATCTTTCCATCCACAACAAATGCATGTTGATGAAATGGCTATGGAGACACAATCAAGAGGAGAACTCACTATGGAAAGAGGTGGTCAAGGCCAAGTATGGGTCCGAGAATCATTGGTGTACTAAGCTGTCCAGAAGTCCATATGGGGTCGGTCCATGGAAGAACATTAGGAAGCTCTGGAGTGAATTTTCCGAGAACTCCTACTTTAAATTGGGGAATAGCAATCACATAAAGTTTTGGAAAGATAAATGGTTTGAAGGATCCATCCTGATGTTTGACTTTCCTAGCCTTTATCGGATAGCTCAGAATCAAGATTCCACTATTTCTCAAAAGTGGCAAGACAATAGTTGGCACATTCTTTTCAGGAGGGATATGCAGGACTGGGAGGTTCCACAACTTCTAAATCTGCTGACAAAATTGGATGGCCTCTCAGTCAAAGAAAATACTTTTGACAGTATAAGGTGGGGGAGTTCCAAGGATGGCCTTTACACCGTTAAAGCAGGCTACACTCACTTTTGCTCCACCAATGAAATCATTGATAGATGGCCTTGGAAATACATCTGCAAGACCAAGCTACCTACAAAAATCTCCTGTTTCAGTTGGATAGCCCTAAATGAAGCATGCCTAACCCAGGACAATCTCAGCAGAAGAAGTTTTCAATTGGCCAACAGATGTTATATGTGTTTGCAGCAGCCAGAATCCAAAGGCATCTCTTTCTTCACTGCCCAGTTGCAGCAGATATCTGGTGTATGTTCTTTGCCATCTTTAGTTTAAGCTGGGTCATGCCTCAGAACATTAAGGATACCTATGAAAGCTGGTCTTCATGAAAAGTTGATAAATCCATCAGTAAAGTATGGCAGATGATCCCTTCATGTATTTTGCGGTGTGTTTGGACAGAAAGGAATCGCAGATGTTTTGATGGGATATCAACTCCAACATACGCAATTAAAGCTAGATGTCTTATATGGTTATATAGTTGGCATAACTTAGCTCCTGTCAATTGTCCTATTAATCTTTTGGACTTCGTCAGCTCTTTAGCTTTAGCCTAGTTTTTGTCTATAGAGCTGACTATGTCTTTATGTATTTCTCTTTTGTACTTCGTGCATCTTCTTGATGCCTTTAATAAAATTCTCTTACTTCATCAAAAAATAACGAGAGGATAAATCAATTGCTGCATTGAGACACAGTAACTACATAGCTGAAATTCAATCAACTATGACAGAGTTAGCACTAAGTAGGTACCATACCCTCCTAATCAACTTAAAAGACGGCTACATCATATTTGCATTGACAAGTACACACATTTAAAGAGATAAAAACATATAACTAAATGTGTGTGTGTTCGTGTACAGACGCATATCACTGCTTGTGCCTTAACTCAAGATTACCCACTAAGGAAGATATGGTTTAGCAGCTTCCTCACACCTCACCATGCCTGCCTTTAAGTTCTCTCCCCAACATCAAACCCCCTCCGCTTCAAGAAAGGAAAGAAACACAAAAAGGGTCTCATTATAAAAAAGAGCGAGAGTTCAAAAATCTCTCATGTGCCAAAATAAGTAGACAAGTAGAATGCTAAAGTATTTGATGCCTATAGCTTCTCATTTTCACCACATTACTGGTTATTTAGATTGTATCTTTCAGAGCTAGGTGAAGCAATTTATTGACTATTTAAATTTAAATAGTGAGGTTGAAACAGAAACTATTTCTGTCAGGGGGAGATTATGCCTGGCGATAAGATAGTTCCCATCTCTGTTCCTTATGCTAAAGTCTATATCGGCATTGTTGAGAAACAAACTTAAGTAGCGACATTTATTTTTAAGTTTGCAACATTTCATCTCAAGTAAAGTTGAAAATGGTACCAACGTTGTTCCAAACGATGATTTCTAAACATTGACCCAAAATGACTCCAAGCACAAAGGAAAAGGAAAAAGAAAAGAAAGAAAGGAGAGGGGAAAATGTCTTACCATCCTTGGGATGCTTCTCTCTTGTAGTGTTTTCATTGCAGCTTCTGCAAATGCTTGTGCAGCTTCGGCTTCAGCTGCAGCAGCCTCAGCCTTCCTGGCAGCCTCCGCAGCGTCGGCTATAGCTGTGTCTGCTTCTGCAACTGCTTGTGCAGCAGCAGCAGCTGCCTCTTGAGGTGACATATTCCTCATCTTTTCTAAATCTAAATCTATCTGAGATCTAGTTAGCATGTTTATGTCATCCTGATCAACCTTAGAACAGATCCTCTGACTGCTATCCAGGAGGGGAAGGGGGAGGTTTCTTCTTCTGTTGGAGAATGTCAATTTAGGCGCCACTTTATACTTCCGCTTCATCTGCAGAAGAACTATACTAGCGAGTATTATGATCAACCATGACGATAACCAATAACAGCCAATTATTCAAAAACTTGAACCCAAGTGCTAATTCTCACTGGCTTCACACTATAAGCTTAGGGCAAGATGTGCAATAACTAGAAAACATGAAGGACATAACTGAAAATCACCTTTATGAGTTTTCCAGTTGCAGTTAAATATTTCAGCTTTGCTAAGAGTATCCTCTTAAAGTTTGGAGTTTCCCAGTACTGGTCCTACAAAATTGGGGGGGGGGGGGGGGGGGAGTAAGTATTTGATGAAATAAACTGACTTATCTAGCAATAAGTCATGATTTTGCTAGGAAGTGAAATTGCAGCAGTATTAACCTGTTTGGCTTATTTAAACTTCTTACATGACCTTCATCACCTTATTGTTAGGAAACAAATTTACCAGAAAGTTCGGTGTCATGGTCAGCGTAGACGAACCAACTATTATCATGGGAGCCCTGATTAGGAAAGCCCTTACTTTGGGGAATGGGGACCATCTCATAATATAGCAAATCAAGAAAATACATAAAATAATGTTAATTTAGCACAATATAGCATTATCAGGTTCATGTTACAGTCGGCCAATGTACCATTCCATATATATACATACTCTAGAACCCATCTATGCGGTATTCTGCAAGTCCACTTCAAATGCAGTTGACTCTTTAATCACACTAAGGTTTGATTAAACTGACTCCAAGAATACCTAAAAAGAAAATATGCAAGAATCACCAATTCCAAACACAATCCAGATTGTTAGGAATGACAAATCCACAAAACAAGAAGCAAAACTCCAAAATCAAAGTACATATTACAGGTCCTTCAAAATCAATAAAGAAAGACGTGAATGGTAATTAATGAAATACTTCTCCAAATTTTGTATATTTGGTTCTCCCTTATGAAGCTCAATAAGAAGACAAGTACCTCTATGTACGTAGAAATGGTAGCCTGGTAGGAACCACCTGGCTCATTCAAGTTGCTTATAGTCTCCATTATAAGATTATCCAACCTATAACAAAAACAAATGAGCAGGACTTAGAGAAGATCATTCCTCCAAAGTAAACATATAAATAAAATAAGAATAACATGAAATGCCACTAATGCTAGTTTATAATTGTTATACTGACTAAGTGTTGTGAATGATACAACCAACGTGGATGCTGATGTGGACGCTGACTCAGCAGAGGCCCATATGATTCCACATCAATCTGTTTTGAGGAGAAGCAAACACGTGAGGCAGTCTTCAAAGAAGTTAGCGGATTTTGTGGTGCAAGGTAAGGGGAGAAAAGCGTGAAGAGGACTGGTGCAAGGTTTAGTATAAATAACTGGAGCGGCTTCAAAGGAATTTTCTTTGGAATGCGGCGGATGGAACTAGAAAGTTTCATCTAGTGAATTGGCAGACAGCCACTTCCTCAAAGAAGTGGGGTGGACTTGGAGTAAAAGATCTTAGGGTATTCAACAGAGCTTTGCTGGGGAAGTGGCTGTGGAGATTCGGGGTAGAAGAGCATGCTCTATGGAGGGAGGTCATAGTAGAAAAGTACGATTCCACGGGAGGGGGTTGGAGGACCAAGGCAATCACAGCACCGTTCGGGTGTGGCATGTGGAGGAACATCATGAAGAACTGGGAAGCTTTCTATGGCAACATCACTTACAGGGAACATGCAAGATTGGGAGATTTCAGAGCTCCAAAATTTGTTGGCACTGCTATACAGGCAAGACAGGATCCATCTTGCGATTCTTGGAGATGGGGGTTGTGTGGCGATGGTTTGTTCACCGTAAAGTCATTTTACCAGAGTATGTTGGCGAGAGATGAGGCTATTTTTCCATACTCATCGATCTGGATTCCTAAGGCGCCCACGAAGGTGTGCTTTTTTGCATGGCTAGCAGCGAGGGGAGTGATCTTGACAGCTGAAAATCTGCGAAAGAGAGGAATTACACTTGTTAGTTGGTGCTACATATGTAAAAGCTCAGGGGAAGAAGTTGATCATCTTCTACTGCATTGCCCTGTGTCCTGGGGTTTGTGGAGGGCACTCTTAAACCTTTTTGGTGTTCAATGTGTGATGCCAAACACTGTAAAGGAAATGCTATATAGCTGGGCCGGTTTCCGTAGAAGAAGCAAGCAAAAGGCGTGGAAGTTCGCCCCGTTAGCTCTCATGTGGATAGTCTGGGGAGAGAAATAGGAGAGTTTTTGAGGGGATTAAGTCTCCGTTTTCATATCTTAAGAATAGTCTTTTATCTTTGATCGCTTTTTGGTGCACACATATAGCCCCTACTTGTGCAGAAGATTGGGCGTTTTTTGTAGAGAATCATGTTCTGATGTAACTTCTCTACTTTTTGGTATACTTCTTGTATGCGGGATTTTTTTCTCCCTTTTGATTAATACAATTTACCTTATCAAAAATTCTCATCCCCTTCTTCTAAGTCTCTCATCTCCTTCTTCTATGTCAATTTCCAGTAATTTCCCTTTCAAGCATTCAGTTCCTTGTAATTTCTGTTGAGGAATACAACTATCGAGTTTATTGGTTGTGGATTGTGTTGTTCGAATTTCAGATTGTTTCATTGGTGCTTTCATCCAGAGGTCACTTATGGAGGACCAAAAGTTACTCAAGGCTCTAGTCGACGATTCGGTTCAGGAAGTCAAAGACTAAGTGTTTAAGGAACTCTCTGAAATTCGTGGTCTTCTCATGGAGGTTGTTGGTAACAGACCGCCGGCAAGACGAGAACCAGCGACAACCACCCTCCGCCACAAGCCAGTGGAGTTCGGTCGCTTTTGTGGTGAGAATTCGGAAGCCTGGTTGTTTCAAGCGGAGCGCTATTTTGATCACTATGGAATTGCTGAAGATGAGAAGCTCACTATAGCATCGTTATTTTGGTCCCTTCAGAGTGGTCAAACGCATTGGCGAGGTGGCCTACAAGCTCCAACTTCCTGACAATGCCGATATACACCCCGTGTTCCATGTCTCAATGCCCAAACGTTGCGTTGGCACACCTGAGTCCCAAATTACGCCCCTAAACCTGTCTGATTTTGCTCAACCAATTGAATCCTTGTCACAGAACCTTGAGGACAAGGTTCTTTTCAGGAGGAGAGTATTGTTGTGAATGATACAACCAACGTGGATGCTGATGTGGACACTGACTCAGCAGAGGCCCACGTGATTCCAAATCAGTCTGTTTTGGGGAGAAGCAAACGCGTGAGGCAATCTTCAAAGAAGTTAGCGGATTTTGTGGTGCAAGGCAAGGGGAGAAAAGCGTGAAGAGGACTGGTGCAAGGTTTAGTATAAATAACAGGAAGAATAGTGTATTAGGCAAGCAATTTGTTATGTGAAGTCTGTAATTCTCATCCCCTTCTTCTAGTCTCTCATCTCCTTATTCTATGTCAATTTCCAGTAATTTCCCTTTCAAGCATTCAGTTCCTTGTAATTTCTGTTGAGGAATACAACTATCGAGTTTATTGGTTGTGGATTGTGCTGTTCGAATTTCAGTTTGTTTCACTAAGTAAATAGAAAGTTGTAGAACTTTTGATATACTTCCATTCTTTTAGGCATGAGGTCTAGGGATCAGCTTCAGAACGCCGAAAAATTAGCTAAACTTATGTCTGTAACCACATTTTGAGAAAACAAAATTCTTGTAACCAAGACAATAGGGGAAAAACCAACATCTAATGATATCAATAAACACAATGAAATCCACAAGATTACAATATGAGGGTCGTGCTGTAACAACTAAGAAGCACGAACAGGTATAACCTTAGGATAGATCTTCTTGAACCACCAAGCTGCGGAGAGCCTCTAGAAGTTGTGGCTGGCCTTGCTTCAGGAATTTCCGCATCACATTCAGCTGCCGAGGTAACAGCCACAGAACTCTCATCCTGCATAGGGGCCTGAATCATCCTTTTGAGGGCCAACTTTGCTTTCTCTCGAGAACCCCAGCCGTTTGCCATCACAGTCATATTTCTCCACTTGTCCTGTACATCATCTCAAAGATACATCATTGTGAAAAAGACTTCAGCTCAAATAAGTAGCTATAGAAAATTGAATATACTGGACAACTATCATCTGACTCAAGAAACATCTAAACTTCCTCTCCACTGAATAAAATTAGTTAAAAAAGAAAAGAATAACACGAAACTCTACCTTGAGATCTACATTTGAACGCAGATACAACACTCCACTAAATTCTGGATCCTTAAGAATTGTACGCCATTTGCCTGGCCCATATTTAATGACACCAGCTCTAAGAGCAACTTCTTCTTCAGGAGTCCACTTCAGCTTAGGTGCACCCATCAAAGCATTGAGGAAATGAAGTTCCCAGAACAAACCTTATCAGAAAACCAATAGTGTGTGTCAAACCAAACACCCGAAGAAGATAACTGGGACAACATATAAGGACGATGATGGGTACTATACAACTGAAAAGTTACATAAACTTTTATAATAAACACTAAGTCAATAAAAAATAATTTGAAGAAACAGCCGATAAAATATATAAATTAATATTAACCTTATAAACATCATATTACGATAAGAAGTGCATTCGTCGCTGAGACACAAAAGAAAACCAGAAAACAACCATAAACTGCATGAATTGGTGTTAGAAAAATCGCATAGCATATTTGTTCACATCTACTAAACAGATATAAACAGATCTCCCAACTCCATGGATGAAGCTACCACCACGAGGCATAATCAGTACTATCTGACAAAGGAAGAAATGCAGATGTATGATACTATGTGCAGTATCACAGAAACAAAATATTGGAAGACACGCGCAAATACTTCTTCAAAAAATGCAAAAAGAAATCCATACAACAATTATCTATCTTCTAAAACACATTCCAAATGATTTGTGAACATTTATTTGTCAGTATTGATTACTGCATTTCTCTGAGTACTTCAATCTGATTCCTTTATATTTGGATTTATCAAATCTAACAAAAGGGCTTTAAACAACAACAATGCACAAAAAAACAAAACATTCATAAACAAACAAAACATGCATTCATATATAAAATCATTTAGAGCCAAAAGGAAAGGAAATTAAGTAACTAGAGAGAAAGCGTCTCAAAGTAATGCTAGAACAGCCGTTTAAGATATAATTTAAGCTTAAGATCATACATTCTTCACATTAAGAGCTATGCCATTTTCCTTAACTTTCAACATGCTAGACACAGGAAATGTGTTTGGTATGAGGGAAAATGACTTCCAAGAAAATGTTTCCATGGAAAAGTCATTTTCTAGTGTTTGGTATGAAGATGAATTCAGTCAAACCATACACACCCACAATTCAAGAAATCAAAAGCATCACATATGGTTTTAGAAAACATATTTTGCTTACAAATCAAACCAAGGTAAATTCAGTTGAAATTGGGCGACGAGAGTTTTATAATCAGACCAAAATGATTCTGAGTACTTTTGTCGAGATCATAAGAAAATTGTGCAAATTTTAATATTGGAAACTAAATAATTTCAGAAACCAAAAACAACCAAGGCAGATTTCCCTCGTGCTTTCAAAAAAAAAAAATCTTCCCTAAAATTGCTTCCAAATGCTAAACCTAAACCAAATCCAAACGCCACCTGAACTACTAGTCACAACAGCAAATCCAAATAAATTTCAACAAAATTACAGCTCATGATGGATAATTAATCGAGTAATTCGCACAGTGTAAAGAACTGAATCCCCTATAGACATATGCAAAATAGAAATCGAAACCCGAATTTCGTCCAATAAACGAGATTACAATTCAATTGACGAAAAAGGTACGGGAAATTGAGGGTGTAAACGAGCAGAGGAAGATCAATAATCACCAGAAAACAGCCTGCAGGCGGAGTGGTTAGAGCGTTAATTACTTTGGAAAAAAGCTCCTCTTTATGTGTATTCGTTATAGCGTACAATCTTACGCACTAGCTGTGGGAGTAGATGTTATAGTTTTGTGTAACTGAAATATTACCAGCTATTGTAATGCCAGTACACGATTTTAAGGAAATGGGAATATTTTCTGCCGCTGAGATGGTGAAAAGTTCTAGGGATGTCGTTACTCACCGTTCACCATGAAAGTAGAGGAGATTTGGGGATGAGTTGACATAAGAATTATGAAATTACAAAAAAAAAACGATATTTTTTAAAGAAAAAATGATATTTAAAAATTAGAGTAACATGAAATGAATATATAAATTGGAGCTGTTTTTTAATTTTTGTGTTTTGAAGTGAAAATTTAAAAAATAGATTTTTAGAGTTTTTAAAATTTTAAAAAATTCTAAAATTTAATTTCAAGTGAAATTTAAAATTTTCATGGCATAATATTCATTTCGGAAAAAAATAAGAAGTTTTCAAAAAAGGTAAAAGAAAAATTTTATGGCGAGACGGGCCCTTAATCTTTTTTATTTGTGGAGAATTACTTGAAATAAAAAATGTTCCAGTAACAAAAATTGCTTTTTTTATTTAAAGTAGTCAAATTTTATATTTACCACCATGTTATTCCCACAATATGGACAAAAACTTATCTATAACCAAGATCTCATAAACTCCATCTCTCTATTTTGTGATTTTAATTACTATGCTTTAATTAAATAAAATTAGAAAAACTAGTTGGTGATAAATATTTACATGTGTTTTCTTACGTAATTTACACTCAAATTAAAAGCATCAAGCTAGCCTGCTTGACCAAACTTTTGCAAAGCACTTTTTGAGGGTGTTTTGGTGAGAAAGGAGAAGTGTTTTGAACGGTAGTAAAAGTTGTTCTTTGTTATTGTAAAACTAAATTTCTGCTTTTTCAAAGAAGTAGAAATAGAAGCAAAATCAAAAAAAAATATTTTCCAAGAGAAAGGAACTAAAAAATTTATATTTATCGAAATATTTTTTATTAATTTAAAAGGAATTTCAGAAAGCACTATACTTTAGAGACTATTTACTTGGCACGGCTATAATTTCCATATTTACTAGCCATAGCAAAACTTACGTTGCCAGGTGCCTCTATTTTCTGTATTCATGCGCGTATGATAGATTGTATCAATGAGTACAATTTTGGTGTATTACGATGTATTCAGTTGTCTATATTTAATTTGGTTGTATTCAATATATATATATATATATACACACACACACACACACACATACACACACATCGGTATTTGGTTGTATTCAATTCACTGTATTCATTCGTAGTTATTTTTATATTATATTCGATTTGGCTATATCCAATTCACTATATTCAAAAAATACAGGCGAAAATATAAA